CTGGAGCCTCTGTAAGGAGAGCCGTCCTTCCCTGGCCACGCCTGGACCCACTGCCGGCGCCTGGCTCCAGCCTCCGCTGGGGTGCAGACAGCTGGGCTGGGCTTGTGGGAGCGGCAGGGGCCGGGGTGGACTGAGGCCGAGCAGCAGCGGGCTGGTCAGGACCTGCTCCTGCCGCTCAGCGCCCGGGTCTGCTTTTCAGAGTATGTGGCGGCGGGTACTCCCCAACCACACCACTGACTTCTTCAAGTCTGGCGCTGCATCGGCGGACGTCGTGAGGTGAGGCAGGGGGACCTGGTGCGTGTCACAGCCCTCGCGAGGACACCATGTCTGTGGGGGTGAGGCATCCAGCGTGCAGCTCAGAGGACTCGGGCTGGGCCGGTGGGCTGGGCCGTGGCAGGGAGACCCACTCCGTGTGGCCTCTCGCCACGGGTCAGGAAGCTGGCGCTGCCCCTGAGGGCCCGCCACACCTGCCCCAGTGTGGTGGCTCCCAGCTCAGAGCAGCAAGCAGGTGCAGAGGGCAGCCCGGGAAGCCCCATCACATCCCACCACTGCCTCGATGCCTCCGAGTAGTCACAGCCTGTCCAGACTCCAGGTGGCCTGGGCCGAGACCCCTGCGGGGCGGAGGCTCCCAGAGCGTGCCTCTTGGTTTAAAGCTACCACGCACCCCAGCGCCCCCCAGAGGCCGGGGCATGAGGGGAGAGGAAGAGGCAGGGAGAGCCTGAGGAGACGCTCTAACCCCAGCACCTGCTGTGTGCCTGTGGGGAGTGGAGGGTGAGGACCACTGCAGTAACGGGGGCAGGGGGGCATCAAAAATTGAATTAAAGTGCATGTTTATTTTGGTGCAAAAAGTTCTTAAAACGCATGCATAGTTTTTTGTAATGGTTGTCGTCTATGAACTTTTTGAAGACCCCTTTGAAATGCAAGTACAGCTTCCTACAACAAAAGGCTCAGATCCGGGGAGGGGTGGGGGCTCTGGTTTCTGGGGTGGCCCACGCTAGGCAGGGTAGAGGTGCCCGCATCAGCAGGGAGCCCCCTCCTGCCCCTCTGGCCGGTGCCACCCCGACTGTTGTCTCCATAGCGACTCACTGGCCTCTGCGTCCCCAGGGTCGTCCTCTCGCATCGAACAGCAGTAAGGTCTGACGTGGTATGGGGGGACGCAGGACGTGTTTGCACAGCTCAGCCTGCAAGTGACAGCAGCTTCGTTCACTCCCTCACTCACTCAGACAGGAGCAAAGCGCTGGGAAGCCCGGGTGGCGTGACTGGCGTGGCTCCTGCCCGAGGCTCGGGCTGCGTCGATAACCATGGTGCCCGCACTGCCCTCGTTTCAGGCAGGAATCGTCCTCGGGAGGGCTAGGTGGCCGCACCCCAGCTCGGTCTCATCCTTCTCGCCTGTGACCCAGGGGCACGGCCCGGAGGTGCCGCTCGACACGGCCGTGTGCTGTCGCCTTGCCTTGGTGACGCTGTCTCCACCCCTCCTCCGTCCCCTGCCTTTCCTAACCGGGTGGCCACCTGCTCCGTGCTGGGCTCTGAGCGCGTCACAGGGCCGGGGCATGTCGTGGTTCGATGTCTGTATGAGGTGGAACGCTCCTCTCCTCCCTGTGGCTTTCCCTCCTGCTCTTCCACGGTGTCTGTCCAAGGTTACGAGCAGCTTCGGTCATTAGTAGCCGAGTCGTCTCGTCCACGTGCCGCGAGCCGGCAGAGGCGGGTGTTAGTGCCCGTTTCACACGGGCCGCCTAGGCTGGGTGGCTTGGCGCTCGCCCAGGCCACGCTGCGTAAGTGCTGGAGTGAGGCGCGTGGCCGGGGCTCCGGACCCCGATTCCAGGCGCCTGGGTGGCCGTGGGTGGCGCACCGCCAGTGCCGCCGACGCCGTGTCCTCCCCTCAGGCTGGTGGAGGAGGTGAAGGAGCTGTGTGCCGGGCTGGAGCTGGGGGGCGAGGACGTGTATGCGGCCACCACCTTCGGGGACTTCGTCCAGCTGCTAGTGCGGAGGCTGCGTGGGGAGGATGAAGACGGCCAGTGTGCCATCGACTATGTGAGTCCCGGCCCTCCCACGGCGGCCCGCAGGCCACCGCCCCTGTGATTCTGTGCCGGCCGCCCTCAGCTCCGCACACTCTCCTGGCAGCCCTGCAGGCTGGGGTGCAGGACTGCGGGAAACTCGCGAGCGCGCTCCGTCTCAGCCCTCAAACAGGCCGAGAGATTTAGGAGGGACTTTCCGTAACGATCCCAGCAAGGAAAGCGACTGGCCTTGTGCTCAGACTGTGTATGTGGGAGTGTCTGAAGTAGCTGAAGATCTAGCTCTTAAAGAAATTCATGAAAAGTCTCCCCCGGGGGCGCTTGGCAGGCTACCAGCAGCCTGGCCGCCCAGAAGACGGCACGCCGAGGAGCGCGTGGACGTAGGGCCTGCGGCCTCGTGCAGCCCCGACGGGCGTGCGTCCGGTTGCCCCGAACACGTGCACTAGGCTCCTACACCCTCCAGCGGGTTTGGGAGGCAGAAGCCACACGCGGAGGGACAGCGGACTAGGCCAGGTTTGCAGTGACAGTCCTGGGGGCCGGGCAGGCTGGGCAGGGGCACGGCCTCCGTGCGGTGGGTTCCCGCAGGTTCTGCAGAGCGGCCCGTCATCCCCTTGCGTGAGAAAGCCTCCTTCAGGGCTCGGATGACTTAGGCCTGACTCGAAGGGTTCCATTTTGATTCCGACAGATTCTCGCACCCGTAGGGCGAGCTTCGGCTCCATTTCACTGCACCTTGGAGCGAGGGTGGTTTGAAAACTGTGTCCAGGCAGGCGGCCCTGGGTTTAGCACGGGTGACCGGTGAACAGACTCCAGGAGGGGGTCAGTAGCCCAGAGGCTCCTGCCCGCCGTGGGGAAGTGAGTGGGGGTGGTGACACGGCTACTGACTCCCGAGGGCCTTGCCACCCGCCTTGTCCCATGCGCGAGCGC